TATTTTATTTTCTCAATAAATGTATTAATTAATTTTTATTGTTTTAGGATGTTTTAATGATAGATATTCAAGCTTTAAAATCAGAAATGAGTGTAGCAAGAAATAACTGCATGATTACCATAATACTTGATTTTGATATTAATGATACTAGCAAAGTGATTGAAAAACATGTTTATCCCAATCTTTATAAGTTGTTACAAGTAGGAATAAGTATTCCAATAAGAGGACGCCACACCCGCATGTATACGTTTACAAACGTATAACATGGCAAAATCTGTTTAGCGCGGGACAACTTTACTCCCTTTGTATTTATAGTAGAATTACCAAAGTTCCACAACGCATAGGTAAGAACTTTATCCGTGTCATAGTGTCGTTAGTTTTTTGATAACATAAATATAATTAAAGTTATAAGCTTAAGAAAATRCATTTAKTTTTTAWTTTTTYATTAAATTACTTAAAATTATTGGTTTGTGCTATCAAAAAATTAACGACGCTATGCCACAGATAAAGTTCTTACMTATGCGTTGTGAAATTTTGAAAATTCTATTATAAATATTGAGGGAGAAAAGTTGTCCCGCGCTAAACAGATTTTGCTATGTTATACGTTTGTAAGACGGATACAACACATGCAGGTGTGTCGTCCTCTTAAGCTCAACCACTTACGAAAGATCGTGTACTTCTATGAGACGTATCAAAAATTGGTTACGAACCAGTATAGGTACTACAAGACCGTTTCACAATTTGTTAATGTGTTAATAGGCACTTTAAATAACATGAATGTTATACTTGATATTACTAACAGTAACATGGTGGATAAATTAATATTTGATATATTATATTGTCTTACCTACATTATGCATATTTTGATTTGTTTGTTAGTTACACAACAAATTATAAATTATATTTTATGGTGATTGGTGGTACATTAAATGGAAGACTCAAGAGACAGGCACATTATTGGTAGCAGGCAAATTGGTTGTCAACTGGGTGAGGATGTCAATCAATTATATGTGAAATATGTATTTTGTGAATCATTTTTTATTTATATWCATCAATGTTATAAATGATTATTTATTAATAACGAAAATATATTTGGGTTGTGTTTTTTATTTTGTTGTACCTTTTATATTAACATCCATGTTAGGTACCTATGCTTCATGCCTTCATTAAGTTATTTAGTATTTATAGTAGGTATGTTTAGCAAATTTAAATAACAACTTGAAGGAACAAGATGCATATTGCATAATATAAAATATATATTGTAATTTAAAATAATATATTAATATATTCTCTTGTGTTATTATTGTTCAGCTKCTCTTTTTAAAGATGGCGGTTTACCGACTCGGCGGCTTCAAATTTCCCCATTGCCGATAACAACAGTTAGCAATCTATTGTATTATTTATATCAGCTGTGGGTGGTGCGGTCATAGCTATCATCTTAGCAGTGTTGGCATTTCTGATAACATAAAATATGTTTATTTATTTATGTTATTAAGATATTAATGGTGTAACATAATTATTAGGGCTTGGTATTATGCATTTGAAAATTTCAAATTTGCAAAACATTTGTCCGGAAGGCAAATAAAATAAACCTGATTCATTATAAATTTGTTTTGTGGCGTCTGGATTTGAAATTTAAAAGTKTTTTGCACATATTTAAGCATACCTACCAACCTATTTCCAACTTTTTTTCCTATATAAGTATATGCATATTTTTTAAATTTATACTGTATATTTTATCTTTTTTTTTTTAAATAGGAATTTTTTAACTATTTATATAATAAATTCAATTCGTATATGTATAAAAATTATTAATACAATTACGAAATTCCATTTTCTGTAAAAATATTTGTTTTTAAGGACAGCATTTAAACTAATGAAACTTTAAGACAAAAGCCATTAAAATTATATTATACCTAACAACCTAACCAAAGTAAAATAAGTTAACGGTGATAGATTTTTTGATATTTAAAGCATACTCATGATTTATGTCTTCTATAAATTGCGAATAACTTACATTAACACACATTTTATATTGTTGGATGCTTGAATATGTACATATATTTTTGATTTTAAGCACATAGTCCAAGTCCCAAGCCCTGTTAGTACGATACGATGATAATAAGCGTTTTATGCGCAACCTGGTTTGTCCTACGCACATGCGCAGAAGTATAGAACAACAYGTGCAGCGCAGCCACCGTTTACCGCAGGAACTACTAGCTTGCTTCGTCTATGAGTATAAAGTCTATGATTATTCATTAAATCATCAAAATATAAAAAAATTTAAATGCTCATAAGTTATAGCTATAAGGTTGCATCAAAATTCTAATTTGAAAAAGCCTACCTAGGGCTTTAGAAAATTATAAGCAATTTTAACGTAAGTACGTATATTTAGACATAATATACATTGAAATGGTTTAAATTTCGGATTTTGTTCGATATGTCATACATACACTAATTTATTCTTTATTATCTATGCGTATACAATATAAACATATTTTTCATTTAAAATTGGAAGTATACATAATATTATGCACTACATAAAAATTACACAATATTCAATATCCTTGTACAATTTATTATAATAAATACAATGTTAAAAAGAAACATAGTTAGACAATTAAAGGTACGTATATTCACACAATAATGACAAGTTTCCAACAAAAAAATAAAATAATTTACTTTCAAACAACCATCAGGTTAGACCAAGCAGTAGTGCAGTACCTATGAGATCAGTATAAATAAYTATGTTTTAATAAAGTAAGCACTAGTTGCAGACATTTTTAAGACTGAACATTATAGGATAATGAGATTTAAATTGCCTTATATGTATAATTTATACATTTTAATGTTCTTATGTGTACACTGTACCAAATTAAATGCGTAAAGTTTTCTTTCTCAATTAAAAAAGAATTTTAGAAATTTAGTAACTTCTTTACTATTGCGTAGAGATCAGAAGCTAAATATATTAGACCAACACGACAAGCTTATAGAAATACTAGATAATGCTGGAGTGGATAAAGGAGATTTGAGGATTATAAGTAATCTATATTGGAATCAAGAGCAATCATACGCGTTGACGGAGAACTATCGTAGGAAGAATTAATTAAGCGTGGAGTAAGGCAGGGTTGCGTTTTATCACCGCTGTTATTTAATATATATTCGGAATTTATTTTTCGTGAAGCTCTAGAAGGAATTGAAGATGGCATTAAGGTTAATGGGGAATGTTTAAATAACATTAGATACGCTAACGATACGGTAATTTTTACAAATTACATTGTGGGGTTACAATACTTAATGGACAGAGTAGTAGAGGTAAGCGAAAGATATGGCTTGATTCTAAATACCAAGAAAACAAAGTTTATGATAATATCAAAAAATCATAACTTAGGAGGACTGTTGAAGTACACCAGATACACAGAAGCTAAAGGTAAATAATAATAAGATCGGATATATGTAGTAATATAATAATATGTATAATTGATACGAATAACTATAGTGCTCCGAGGCGTAATATAAAACAACGACTAATCGTCCTACAGGCTACTACATAGAACGAATATGCTAGTAATACAAAATGCCTATTCAKCGTCTGCTGTACTACAGTGTGAATAATTTTACTTATAATCTACATACTATAGGGTGTGTTGTTTACATTCAACAAGGACATTTTTGATAATTAAAAATAAACGTATAGAACAAGTACAATGATTTAAGTAGGTACCTACCTCGAAACAACAATAAATGAAGATTGGGATCATTCATTAGAAATAAAATGTAGAATTGAAAGAGCTA